TCTCTCTGTCCCCTGTCCCAGCCCCGCAGCACCACCCCGGCCATGGTGCCACCTCTGGAGGTGACGGAGCCGCAGCCGCCCCTGCCGTACTTCCCATGGGCACAGCCCCTGTCTGCCCTGCCAGCCTCCACCCTGCAGTACCCTGCAGCCTCCTCCTCGTTCCCTGGGCCCCAGCTGGTGCCCGTGCCCATCTCCATCCCCGAGCCAGCCCCCCAGGAGCTGGAGGATGCCCGGAGAGCCATCGGTGCCCTGCCCATCGAGAAGCTGCTGCTGGAAGATGAAGACAATGATACGTACGTGTTAAGCCATGCTCTCTCTGTGGAAGGGCTTTAGGTCGCACATCTGGGGCCTCAGCTGCTCCACCCGGCACCTCTGGGTTTTGGGGAGGGAGGAGAAGTGGGTGGGGTGGGAATTTAGTGATTTGTGTGTTGAGTGAGATTTGCTTTGTCCTGTTGCCCAGCACAAGATTCCTCTGCTGTTCCAGCTCCTGCCGCCTCTCCCGGGCAGGTCTGGATGCTGCACACTTGTGCTCAGCACCACCACAAGGTGATTTTCACCCTCGTGGCCCCAAAGTGACACATTCCAGTGTAGCCGAGGCCAGCTGTAGCATTTGGTGAGGGTACAATTGCCTCTAACTATTGGCAAACCCCCATTCAATAGGGCTGCTTTTGTGTGAATGACTTGTCTGTGTGTCTTTGACCTGTCCAGGGATGAACTCTCACCAGATTTATTCCACTAGAAAACATTGGAGAGGGGCCTAAATTGACATTTTTCTCTGTCCCCTAAATTTTACTCTTCCTTTGGAAATCAGGGAAATGTGAAGTGTAGCTTTGTTCTGCTGGTGCAGGTAGGTGCAGTAATCTGGAATTAAAGCTGAGCTAAATGCCAGAGCAGTCAGAGATCCCCGTGTGCAGAGCAGGAATTCACACCAAGGTGGAACTGGGAGCTCTCACCTTGTCTGCCCCTGGAGCCCAGCCCTGCAGGTGTGGGGCTGAGGCTTTGGGGTCGTGTTCTTCCAGCTGCAGAGGGGTTTGGGGCTCTGAAATATCCAAATCTGAGGTGTTTGGGGCTGCTTTAGTGGCTGGCTGGTAACGGTGCCAGGGGACAGATCCTGACCCACTGAAGTTTCTGGGAGTTCTGTCTCAGCCAGGATTGCAATTCATGGCCCTGTATCAGATCATGGAGCAGACAGGGATGTTCCAGAATCTGGACTGCAGCCCAACAAAGAATCCATGGCATTATTGTCATTTGGCAATATTTTTGCTTTTCTGTAGTGTTTGAGTGTGGAGCTGGTGATGTGCTGAGCCAGGGAACTTTTTCCTCTCCTTGGAAAGGTCCCCAGCCCCAGAGCTGCACACCAATCCTTTATGGCTTTCTGATTTCCTTCCCTGGAGAATGAGCAGCTTCACTTTTCCCTCTGATGCAACTGTAAATATTTTGGTTGAGGCTCAGGACTGCCATGCCACAGGCAAATATATTTCAGGAGTTACATCCCCTAAAATCCTGTTTATTGTTTTCTTGACAAACAAGAGGCTCTTGGCTGGTGAACACAATTTCTCTGGGTTTTTCTGCTTTCTAAAGCCCAGGATTTTTAGATGATTTTATTATTTGCAAGACTTAACTGCAAAATAATTTATTGTACTCTTTATTACCTGGAGTCCAGCTGCCACCCAGGCAATATTTCAAGTGGCCTTACAGTTCATGCCTGGGTGAGGTTTGAAGACTCAAGTTGAAGGTCTTAAAGACTTTCCAGGAGTATTTTTTTATTGGATATGGACAAATGTGGAAGACACGAGCATTAGATCATGTAAGTGATCATAAAGCTGTTGGAAAAGAGCAGTAGCTGAGGTTTGCATTGAAATTAGTGGCTTACATTTGCAGAAAAACCCAGTAAAGAAATTAATTCAAAGGAGCTTAATTCACCACTGCTTCCTCCAGTTTTATACAGCTCAGAGATATTCCCTGGCTAAAGCTGGGATAAAGCAGTTGTGAATCAGGCCTGTGGTTGCTCTGATTGCTTTTCAATTCCTTTCACTCCAATGTATGTAAATTCTGTGTGTGAACATAAAACAAAGATGAAACTGTTTCATCATTTCTTTCTGGGTTGTTCTGGTTAGAAAAAAAAGACAAATTCTTTTTTTTTTTTTTTTTCCAATAAAGATCTACAGTAACATTGCTATGCCTAGAGTGTTTTATTTCCTATCCACAAGCGTTGGTTTAGCAATCAATTAGTTCAATAATATATGTACAGGCTAGAAGCAGAGATTAGCTGTCAGACTTTGTGCTAATTTTACACATTGAGCAGACTAAGAAGGAATTCCATGATCCAGCTGTGGCCTGGAGGCATTTCCTGCAGTTCAGCTTCAATCACTATGATCCTCTCCTGGCACCCTTGGGGATGTGTGGGTGTGCAGCCACAGCTAATGCTGAGCTTGACTGAAAATCAGATTAGCCAGAAAATTGTATTTCCACTTCCTGAAATTGCAAAGGAGTGGCTCTGGGGGTACAAAATTACCTGAGGAGAAAAACAGCTGCCCACCACCATCAAATATTTCTGTCTGGAGCAGAATGGGTTGGTGTGACTGTGTATGGGGTGATCTCCTCCTGTTTTAGGGGCTGGAATTTCCTTCAAGTAGGACCTGGGGGAATGGAAGTGGCTCCAGCCAGAGCCAAGTGACCAAAGTGAAGCAGAGAAGAGTTTTCCCCATCACTGAGGGCCACCAGCCACTCCCATGGGCTGTGACAACTTTTTGTCTTGTGCAAAATATGAGGACTGTGTCCCTCTCACCAGGAGTTTTGATGGAAATTAGAGTTTAAGATGGTGATATAATACAAATATATCAATTAGGGAGTTTAGCAGGTGGATATATTAGAAATATATCAATTAAGGAGTGATTGTTACCCCCATGGTGAGGTTTCACCAACAAACCCAGAGCCGTATCATCCCAAAAAGTGATTTATACACACAATTCCCCAACCTGGGAATTGTGGAGGACTTTGCCACCTCCCAGTGGCGAATCTCAGCTGAAAGAAGGTGCTGAAGTGGGAAGGAGGCAGCTCAGGAGAGCTGAGGGCTCTTGGACACTGCAGCTGTTTGAGGTAGGAAGCCCTTCCCGTGGGAATGGGAGATTTTGGGGCTCATGGCACGGATTTGTGGTGTAAAACCCCCAAAAGTGGGAAACTGTTTGTTCCCAGCGTGGTCCATGGTCCATCAGTGATGGGTGTCTTTATTTACTGTCTTAGAATTCTGCACATTTCTGCAGCTAAAGGCCTGAGGGCTCACACGCTGGCAGCTGCAGAGCGCATGAAAGCCCTGAGGAGACTCGATGCCAAGGAGCACAGAGGAAAGGTAAAAAAAAAAAGGGGCCACTGGTCCTGCAGACAGCAGGCTTTGGGATGGGAGCAGCCTTGGAGTGACTGGCAGAGAGATATCCTAAAAAAAAAAAAAAAATGCAGCTCTGCCCCTCTGCTCCTGCAAGGAAGGCTGGGCACTGATACGCCTCACTTGAGGGCAGGATTGTAAAATTCAGTGGCATGGTCATAAATCAGGTGGGATGAGAATGAGCCCATTCTTTTTGCAGCCCGTGATTCACAGAGTGATGTGGTCCAGCAAAATATTTGTGTGTTGGCATCAGTCTCCAGGGCTGAAGGTTTTATGGCCAACTGACTCGCCCTGTACCTGATGCAATCGGGGTTTAAAAAATGCTGGGTTTGGGTTGCCATCCAAATTTAGGGCTGGAGAAAATCAGAGGGAGTCCAGCAAGAGCTGGGAAATGTCCCCATCTCATGGTGCCACGTGGGATTCCAAACCATCCTGTGAGCTCTGCTCATCCCTGGCACCACAGCCCTCGGGATTTCAGCCAGCCCTTTCCCCACTCCTTGTTTTACACCGGCAGCTGCTGCCTTAGAAAAAATAGAAAATAGCTTTTCTGTTTTTCATATATTTATAATCCTGCAATTCTTTAGTGTATAACTCTAAAACTTCATAGTCTCTCAGCTCCTGTTCTCCCATTTTATTCAGACAAAACAATTTCTCTCTAGGCCTGGAACTCAAGGACACCTCACTGTCTCAGGCCCTGAAAAATATAAACAAAAGTGAGTTGGGAGGGGAGAAAATTGGGGGTAAATGACTTCATTACCTGAAGCTGTAAATGGAGGATTAACCCCCTGATATGCAAATGGACCAAATTAGATCTGCATGAAAAATTTGTGACCATCATCCATCGTGGGTGTTGCCTCTGGGAGGTGCCCAAGGTGTAGCTATTGAAGGCTTTTAATATTTTATTCTCTTTTATTTATTCTCTTTTCTTCTCGTTATCAACTTTTATTTTCGTTATCAATTTTCATTCTCTTTATCAGCTTTTCTTCTCTTTACTCACTTTTATTTTCTTCATCCACTTTCATTCTCTTTACCCACTTTTATTCTCTTTATCCTGTCTAGCCCCTGTTGCAGGCAGCCACTCCAAGGCATCAGTGCCAGACTCTGGAGTCTCTCTGAGCTCTCTCACAGCTCTGTGTGTGCTGCTCTTGCAGACTCCCCTGCTGGTGGCTGTCACTGCCAGGCAGGCAGCGATTGTCCACGACCTCATCCAGGCAGGAGCAGATGTCAACGCTGTGGACAACAAAGGGCAGACAGCTTTACACCTTGCTGCAACATACGGCTACAGCCAGGTCCTGCAGGTAGGAGAAGTTTTATGGTTTTAATTGATGGTGGTGTAAAACCACAATCAAGTGTTGATGTTGGTGTCTGTAAATAAAGGCACAGTGAGAGATGGAGATTGGGCAATTCCTTGTGTCAGGAATTGAATTCCCAAGGTGGGTTTTATTCCTGTTTTAGGGCTGTGCTTGCAGCCTGCTGTTAACAGAGGAAAATTCTTTAGTGGCTCTGTGGAGGGAAAGGAATAATTTCTGCAGATCACAGCTCCCCAGTGTGGTTCAGCATTGGAGGGCATTCCCCAGCCATGAGGTGTGAGGAGAGGGAGCCCCAAAACCAGGGTGAAACCTCCTCCCTGAGGTCACTGCCATCCACACAGGAGCCAAAAATCGTGGCCAGACTCAAGGCAGCAGAAGAGAGATGAGATGTGACCCTGCAGATAGGGACAGCCTTCAAACCGAGGCACATTTTTCAGATTTTCCTTCAAAACCTGGCTTAGATGAGCAGATCTTGGCTTCCCTGTTGCTTCACAGATTTCTCTGCAGACAGGGACTGCACCTAAACTCTGTGCCAGCCCTGAACAGCAAATTAACACTTTAAACCAGGCCCTGTGGGAATTTTGGGAAGGGATTCCATAGCAGGGATTGGCACCCTGTGAGTCTTAAATGCTTCTCTATTGGCCAGAAATAAATAA